AAGCACCGACACAAATGGAGTTCTCATACAAACTGTGCTGCCGAGTACGGATCGCGCACAAGGCTACTTTGGTTTCCGTGTGACTAGCGTCGATGACGAGCAGACTAACATGCTCGAGATACTTCGCTGCTCGGATCTGTTTGACTTGGCGACAGGTCGTGTGCTCCACTGTCAAATCATTCGTCAACATACTCACTCCTTCGATGATAATGATGATCAGCTAAGCGACGGCGACATCATCTCGTTCAACATTCATCACTCGGCTTTCGACGGAGGGTCAGCAGCAACCTTTCTCCGTGATCTCTCTGTTGCATATGAGAGCGATGCTGAACTGGAAACTGATGATCACGCTCTGCAGTACATTGACTACGCGACACACGAACGACAGTTAGACATGTCGGCATCGGCTGACTTCTGGCGTGTACAACTCGATGGATATGATTTGGAACGTGGTTTGGCATTACCCGTTGATCAACATCGATTGTCGAACAACGAGCGATCTGGTGGAGCATGGGTGGGACAGTTCACCTTCGACGATGATCTCTCTCGTTCGTTTCTGTCGTTTGCTTCTTCACACAATGTCACGCCCTTTCAGCTCGGTCTTGCCACTTTCTATGCGTACTTGTTCAAACTGACTGGTGGTCAACAAGATCTGTGTGTCGGTTCGATCAACGCTAATCGATACAGAGTGGAACTGCGAAACATGATCGGAATGTTCGTGGCCACGCTACCCTATCGAGTTCAGCTGGATCCAAATGGATCATTCGAACAACTGGTTGAACAAGTGAGAGATCGATGTCTGTCGATACTTGAGCACTCACACTATCCTCTTCAACACATCATCGGCAATCATCATGCACCGGCGTTTCTTGAGACGATGTTCGACTTTATCACGATTGAATCGAATGTTGAACAAGTGAATCTTGGTGGTGCAATGCTTCAATCAGTGGCATTAGAACAATCAGATTCTATCGCGAAGTTTGACATGATGGTCACCTTTGTTCATAACCAATCAACCGGAATATCATGCTCTCTCGTCTGTTCACAAGATCTTTTCGACGATACCACCGTACAGTTAATGACCGAACGATTCTCCTGCCTTCTGCATCATCTGTTCAATTCTGC